AGTATATCCTCAAGATCATACATTTAAGTCATGATTTCATGACATTCATCAATTCTGTATCTCATTTACAACAAGTGTGATCAACATTGCAACATTCATACATATACAAGTATCATAATGAAGCAAGAACAAACTTACATCACACAATCATAGAATCACAACCATCACCTACCTCGAAACAAGCTTGAAACCCTAAGAAACTTGATTTTTCCCTTTCCGAATTCGTTCCGCTTGTTATTGGTTTACAAACAATCAAAATAATACGGGAATCAATAAACAATCACTAATTACTCTAATTACTAACAATTCTATGAACCCTAGATCAAACCCATGATCTCAATTATCCAAATTAGGGTTGTTTCCACCATAGAATCTATAACAAAACCCTCCCCCATCAATATTCACCCATTCTATTACGTTCTACGGATCGAAAAATGGATTCGGGGAGTGAAAAGCTTACCTTTAGCCTCAAGAATGGTGAAAAACGGGTAGGAGTCGCCTGGGTTCGTTCCTTAGCTCTAAAAGTCAAAAAGTGCATAATGAGGTCTTTTAGGGGTTATTAACGACATTAAGTCGCGTCTGGCCCGCCACAGCGTCCCCGCCAAAGCGGCAAAAAGCGGCGCCAGGGCGGGCATTCTCGAACCAGTGAGCTATTTAAAGAATTCCAAAATTCTCATTCCACAACACACCTCTAACCCACGACGCTCAGTAAATACCTTTTACGCTAATTAAGATCGATTCTGGGAGTTCTACTCTCCCGAATTCAATTCTGTAAAGTCATACAGATTCTTTAATGAGTTATCTAACTACTCATGTAATCAAAATCATAATTACTTCACCCGATTGTTACCAGATTTCCCTACACCTCAAGGACTCCAATTTCGTCCAAATCTGGATAAGGTTGGGAAAATCCAAATACTACAAAAAGTTTTCCGGCCCCAAATTTTTCCCTGTTAGCTTTTCTATAATGATGGGAATAGGTCGTTACAAAGGTTTTGAACCTTGAAAGGTAAATTATGGAATTATGCATGTTCTTTTGAAACCTATGCAAATGTTTTAAGGATGCTTTGAGAGTAAAGTATCAGTGATGATGTTGTTGTTGTGTTATTGAAAGAATTTTCTCATAAATACATGAAAACATGATGTGAAGGTTTTCTCACATAATAAGGATTCTAAGGTTGAAAGGTCTTCTCACCTAATTGAATCAAAGATTAAGAGCTATCCTAATGAAACCTAGCTTAGATTGGTTATTGAATGATATCTATCCATGGATGATGACTTAGTTTGGATTGGCAAGATGACGTGCCTTTCCATGGACAATAAGAACAAGTAAGAAATGACTATTCTGTGGGATTTATGCTTAGCACCGAGATGATATTGAGATGGAAGCTCTCACATTAGTAGAGGTCAGGTTTCTAGAAGAAATCTCCTTATCCCTTACCTATATGCCCCCATAGGATGATTGTCTAGATAGACATTAGCTAGTGGATTCGCCTAAGCTAGAAGTTCATATATGGTCCTTACCTTGGCAAGTAGGATGATGTTTTTCAGTGTGGGAGACACCGGGGGATCATATTATAGCTCACATGGTCTCTATGTCGGTTAAGGCAAATCCCCCACAATAATAATGAACTAAGGTTACTTCAAGAAGTATCTCATATGTTTTCAAAGACTTTAATGACGTTAGCTTGCATTTACCATGTCTTATGACTTATGTTTTCTAGCCCTTCTATATCATGTTTTAGCTTGGTCAATTGCATGTCATGAAATGTCCTACCTTTAGCTTGATTTAAATGTTTTATGCATATCTATTATACTTAGTACATTGTTTTGTACTAACGCATACTCTTGCCTACATTTCCCCAAATGTAGGATCTGACAGTTAGGTTTCTCAGTTTCGTGGCTAGTGGTTGATTACGAGGTTCCCGAGCTTTGGTGAGTCCTCATGCTTCGAGGATGGGTTTTCATTGTTTCAGTTTAATTCTTGTATTTCAGTTTTGGACATGATGTATGGGCTAGGCCCAATTTCATTCTATTGTACTAGATGGCTAATGAGACAAGTGTTTTAGACTTCCTCTTTTCTTTTATAAAACTATTGGACTTAGACTATTATTTTACTTCTATTGTTCTATTTCTTATATTATGAATGCTAAGTGGCTTGTATGGGGTATTTCTGGGTCCTATACGCCATGTTACATCTGGGGGGTACCCTTGGGTCGTGACAAACTTTGTAATCATAGCATAAGGCTTAGAATGGTCCTAGGATGTCTCATAAGCTACTTCGAGTAGAGTCTTGTTCATGAGTGTGGAGCTGTCCAAATTTATGAATGAGAGTCTACAAGATGATTAGGAAACTCCACTTCTTTCATTATTTCTACAGGATATGGCTACTCGAAGAACTTATTGTAACATCTCGCAAATTGAAATAACTAGGAAGAAGTTAAGAATTGGAAATAGTGATTTTTTTTGAAATAATGAAAATCTGGAAATTTGTTCAAGTTAAGTTAAGAATGAGTTTTGGTCAATTTCAA